GAAGCATACTGGGCCCATTGCTTTTCCTATTATACATAAATGACCTTCCAAAAATATTGGAAGTATTCAAATATTTTAATGTATGACAACTGATATTACCAACTTTTAAAAACTGTTACGGCCAGAGGTCTTTCTTCTATGTTTATACTAAAGCATGGAATGACATTCCTCAAAACACAAAGTCCATTTCAAAACCCTTTAAGAAGAATCTTGTCTGCCATCTGCTGGACACTTTTTGTTGTGCTCATATTTAGACGTCCTATTTTGCAAATGCTGCCTTCCTGAAATTTGGTATGTTTGTTTGTCTTTTGTGTCTATGGTGTATAATGATGTGATTGTGATGTTGTATTTCTGAGTGTTTTATGTGCTGCAGAACAGGAACCTGCTGTAAAACAGCAATTATGCTGAGTCAGCCATGATTTTTAGTAATCTTTTCCTGTTAAATCAATAAATCAAATAAATTTTTCAAACTCTGGTGTAAAACGCTCATAATCAGACGTAAACCTATGCAGAGCAGCAAATGCAAACGCTTCACACACTTGATAGAAACTGTAAGAAAAAGTTGCCTGTTTGTTGCACCAGCAGTGTCAGGAAAAACCTCCCACGGTTTCCCAGCAGTTACCCCGGAGAGATTTCTCTGACACAAGGTTTTACAGTGTAGCAGCGCGGATTACCGAGGCCTGTGGCCCAGGGATACAGCAGCTGGCATGACAACAAGGTAACAGACAGACCGAGGGAGGAAACTCCCCGGAGAGCTGACAGACCTGACGAGTCTATTTGTAACCGGTGCAGAGGTTTGTCAGCTCGACACTCGTTTTATTGTCTCTCAGGTCGGACGAGAGGCTGTACTGTGAGCAGAGGAGGGGGAAAAAAATAAAAAAATAATAAAAATAAACACTTTCTGGATGATGTTCTGAAGCTCTCACCTCTAGGTTTTTCCCTTTAAAGCTGCACTCTTCTCGCTTTCCAGCAGGAGTGCCCCACGTCAGCTGAGACGAGGGAGAAAAAAAAACTTGAGTAAATCATGTGAAGCACAAACCACTCCTGCTGGGTTTATCAACAGCTAAAACCCAAACGCTCGTCGTACTGACATTCCTCCGCAGCTTGGTCTTGCTGATGTCCGAGAGGCTGAGGGCGAACAGCGCCTCCCTGGCTCCGACGTACAGCATGTCGTCCTCCTGGCTGAGCAGCAGGGACGTGTAATTGAAGACGCCGTCCGCCGAGAATCTCTTGGCCGATCTCTCCTTCGCATCTGAATACAGATGAGACGACAGATTCTTATCAGCTAATGTTAGAGAACCAGAAGGAACAGAGTGTGTCCCGATGTCCGGAGAACAAGCAAGTACAAAAATAACGCTCAGTTTTATCTTTCCTCCTGCTGAAAATAAAGAAAGGAATGAAAGGTATATATA